TTTTAATTTAAATTTAAAAATGAACCACCACCATGACTAAAACAACCCTTACTTCCAGCTCGTCACACGTCCTAACATTGTTAAACTCATAGTCCGTTCAGCTTTCACAGTTACTATACAAATAAAAGCAGATAAGAGGTAATGCGAGCGGAACTCCTAGATTTCTCATCCTTCTACTCTCTTTCTTCGGGCAGCATTCAAAATAAGCTAAAGACTGAGAAGTGAGAACGCATTCTTTCCTCACTATACGATTCGCATTTCTCCCCAACTCAGAATGCTAGGGTTAGAGTTTCAAAATCTAATAAATGCTAATCTTTACGTTAGGAAAAGAAAAATAAACACAACAAAATTTAACGCCATTAACTCGAAAAACAGAAAACAAACAAACTGAAAAGCTTAAACGAAGAAAAAAGGAAGATCAGATCAGAAATTTACCAGAAGTCGGCGATTTAGGCGGCGGCGGAGATCTATTCCCCGCCACCTCTGGGGATGAAAAGTAAGACGACTCCGTCGACTCCATTTCTCTCTTCTAAACCAGAAATACAAATAAAAATAAAAACAAGAACACAAAACAACATAAATAAGTACGACAAGAAAACACAAAGCTTAAGCAAATTAATTAAAACATTCCCTACATTAAGGTAATTTTAAACAAAAACAAAAGGGTTTATACTTCTTTTCAAAATTTGCTTACTAATTTAGTTTTCTTTTTCTTTTTGAGTTGGCAGCTTTCTATACATTGCTCGCTGGCTCCTGGCTCCTGGCTCCTGGCTCCTGGCTCCTGGCTCGTGGCTCATCCGAGAGTTTTATTTAATTTTATTTAAAGAGTGAAAAGTGAAAACCACCTATTTTTGTAGAAATAAATAATAATAAATATTATTTAATCAAGGATCGGTGAACGTGAAGAGAAGGGGCGGCCCACAAGGTTGCGACCACGCTACCCGTTTTGGCTAACCTATCATCAATAGGTCATGACAGCATCTATGCGTAAAAACCGGTGAACTTCAAATGGAGCGTGATCAATGGGGTGTTGGAAAAAAGATGGTTGCAGAAGGTATTTATAGGTTTTTTTATTAAGTTAAAATAATTATAAAATAGTATTTATTTTAAATATTTTTAATTATTTAATTATGGACGTTCAATCACATTGTTTTAGTTATTGGTGTTCGAATCTATGATCAATAGTAACAACAATTATTCTTTTAATTATTGAAATGAGTCGATTCATACAAAATATTAAAAATAATTTTTTAGTTAGAGTAATATAAATAATGTATAATCAAAATATAGGAAATATATAACGATATTTAAATATAATACGTCTTTTTTATAGTAGCAAAGATATATATATATATATATTTACATATCTCTCTTATGATATTTTGTATTCTATATGTCTTTCATGTATACTATTCCTATCACCCAAATTGAGAAAATAACTTTTTTCAACATTTCATGTGAGTCAATTTTTTTCATACATTTTTCAAGTAATTTTGCCTCATAGTCGCATATGAAAATTAGTTTTTAATATTTTTATAAATAATTATTTTAATTTTATAATACTTTAATATTTAATATTTTAATTTTTAGTTAAAACAATTTTCATTGATGAAAATAGTTAATTAAATAATGATCGATATATATATTGTTGACGTAATATTTTCATATGTATTTAATTAATGACGTGATATGTGTAACATCACTCAAAGTGATGATCTAATATATGTCACATCATCAATTAAATACGTAAGAGTATCACGTCAATAACATGTGTTAATCATTAATTAACTCACGATTTTTATATAACATAAGTTATTTTGACTAAAATTTAAAATGTTTAAGTTAAAATACTAAAAATAAATAAATATCAAAGTAATCATTTATCGAAGGGTTAATTTTATCATTATACATAAAACTTATTTGATGTATCTACCTTTACTATTTTAAAGTTTTGTAATAAATTTACACAAACCATCTTACCTCAGTGGTTAAAGGAATCACGTTGTTCTTAGATGTCACGGGTTTGAACACCATTAATTGTAGCAGGGTGATTGAACGACCTTAGTTTTATAAAAAAAGAGAGAAAGTTTTGTATTAAATTTATTTAATCATATTTTATATTAATTTATCGAATGTATTATTTTATATGGTAATTTTAGATATTTTAATTTTTTTAAAATTTAATCCCATAATTAAACATTTTAAATTTCGTCAATATATTTATGTTGATAAGATGATTCATTAAAACTATATTACTAACAAAACAAATATGTTAATAAGATATAAAAATATTATGATTAATTTTTCATTGAAAATATTTAAAGATATCGATATAAATGATTTAATTTAGAAATGACCATTCAGCTCAATTGGTAGAGCACAAGGCTCTTAACCTTGGAGTCGTGGGATATTTCATAATTTGGAGGTCTCATACGGAAGCTGCTCTCAACCTGGCGTTGTGGACAGCCTACTATCCTACCTCCCCCTTACCCCATTACATATGAGAATAAGGGTCAACTAATTTTTTATATAAATGATTTAATTTAATATTAATACTAATATAAATTAAATAATTAAATTAAAAATTTGTAAAACAAAAAATTTCAATAATACGTGATGTATCCCATTTTTGCAAATAAATATCAAAATCCAATTAAACATTTTTGGCTAAACAAGCCTAATAAATTTATAAATTTTGAAATAATTGTTATTTAATATATTAATTAATTAATTTAAATCGAATAATGTAAAGACTTTTGAAACAAGACTTGATTCATTTTGCTCAGATCCGACTACTAGTTGGTTAATAAATTCTTAATTGAATTCAACTAAATTACATTTATTAATATCGATGAAATACACCCAAATAGTTCAATTATTTTACAAAACTGCGTGAAGGGCCCCAGTATTTTAGATCTCAAAAAACATCGCGCCAAATCAAGAAAATCGTTTTGTTAGAAGAAAAAGGGATCTGTTTTTTTCCCCAAACCGTTCACTTCAAATCTCCAAACGTGGAAAGCTAGAAGAAGGAAAAACCCAATTAATGTATTCCCCCGTGATTTCTAAGGGTCATGTCTTTAGGGTTTAGCAATGTCGAAGATAGAGAGATCGGTTTCAGCTCAAAACAACTGGTTTGAATCCGAAGAAGAAAATGCAGTCAACGAAAGTGAGAATAGCCACCGGGTAGATGAAGAAACAACATTGTTCAGAAAAAGCTGCGTCAACGCGAATACGATCATGTTAGTGTTTTCCTTTACCCTCCTAATTTTAAGCACATTATTATTATGTTTGGAGTAAATGCAATATATTTGTTGTTTTGCTCCTTTGTGTTGCTTGAGATGTGATCTGAAAGGTTTGTATGCTAAATGACTGAAGTTGTTAAGAAATTATCTCCCCCCCCCCCATGTTGAGATTCTCAGTTGAAAAAGTTATAGACGAAGAAGAATAAATTGGTACAACCGAATGAGTAGAGTTTTGAAATTTAACTAAGAATCGTATTTGTGCGCTAAATTTGATCACCAATTGCACAAGGATGAAAATTATTTCGTGAAAAAAGAAAAGAAGAAGAAGAAGAAGACCTATTTAAATAAAATGTTTGAATTTATCATGATTTTTGAAGTTTTGCACATGTGATCTATGTAACAAAGATCATGGATTCGAAGATTTGAATTTATGAGAAAGATATACACACATTTTGGGTAAATTAATTGTAATTTGTTATAATTATATATTTAAGTATAAAAGCATGAATTTTCAAGTTCACAAATATTTGTAGGAATTTCATATGAACTACTAATAGGCATCCATCCGTGAATTTAAAAATAATCATGAATATTTTATTTATGTGTTTAATCACACAAACTCATCTTAAATTCAAATTCACAAGCGTCACCTTAAGCAATTTTAGCCAACTCTTGTGCATAGTTATATATAGACTCTGGATTCTTTTAACAAAAGAATTTCTCAAAGGGAAACAAATATAAGAAAAATATTTGAAATAAAATGGATAAAATAATACAATATGCATTCAAGAGCTATAAAACCCAGAATCTTTGGTGAATGGGACTTGAAATTGCTTTAGATTTAAGGTACCAAAAGAATTAGTTATATTATAGTTTATTTGCTTTTAGTCATATATACTTCGGCTTTTAGTTCTCGATAGTTTCAGATTGATAATGATTTGATTGTAAGAGGGGTTCTCCATGACAAAAGTAACAAACTGCTGACTCTTATCTTTTATCATTTTAGGTTTGTAACAAGCAAAACTGCAACATTGAAAATGTAGAAGTTACGGGCGTTGGTCTTCTGTCAAAGATTCAGAATCTTGAGAATCGATTTGCTTCTGCCTTCACAGAATTCAGGGTTTCTGGATTGCCTGTTGGCAACATCGAACTGTCCAAATTCGTTGCTGAGTTGGATGAACAAGTTCAATTTTGTTTTGCTGAGATGAAGCAATTGCATAAGACCCAGGTGAAGAGACCAGTAAAAGTGGTAGGTTCCTGAAACATAAAAATTAGAATCTCGTCTTGATAAACGTAACATCTGAAATGGGGTATATAAATTTTTACTGTCAAATAATACAATCAAGTATCTGTTAAATTATTTTATGTTTTCTGATGAAGTTGTTTTGTGAGTGACATGACACCAGGCAATATTTGGTTTCTAATTAAAATCTCTAACCCTAGGATGCTTTTGTAATACATCAGGTGACTTCGAAAGGATTGTTGTATAAAAGATACAAACCTAATGATGGACTTTTTAAGGAAATATCCTTGTTGGTTTAGGATAATATTCTTATGCAATGAACAACTCCACAAAAAAGAAAGAAAAGGTGCGCTTCCTTGAGCTTCGACTGTGCATTTACAACCTCAAACTTTAGATATATTTCTCTCCGTCTCTTCTTTTTGTATTTCGGCATCCACTGTCAACATATATTGTAGCAAAATAAAGTTTTAGTCACATTAATTCTGTAATGTTACTCTCTTCGGCTGGAATTACAGGTTTGCCAAAAGTATCCCGGGTAAGGGATGCTAAAACTAGTTCGACATTCGCTGTCATCACATATCATACAAATTCAACTCTCGAAGTCGGATACTGAACTGCAGACTTGATTGTGCTCGACTGTAAGTAGTGTTATACAAATGTAATCTAACACTAACGATCTTTGTAAATTTCACTCGTGTTCAGTTTCTTTTTCTGGAGGATATAAGCAGTCATGTAGGTGTTCCGGTAAGTCGACAGATGAAGAAGGTGCAGGAAACGACAGACGTGAATGCAAGGTATCGATGCTTGAGATTGAGATGAGTGCAATGTATGAAATATGCTAAGGTAGATGCTTATCCAGAGCAACATGTAGTGTAGCTTAAGGATGTTAGCTGATCCACAGTTGGATTTCAGAATCCCATGCAACTTTGCTTTTACCCACAATTGGGTTCAAGTGAGTAAATCAAAATCACTATATAAAGTTGGGGCAACAAGTGCAACAAAAGGAAAGTTTAATTTTGGAATATGGTGCACATTTTACTAACTAATTCTGTAATCCAATTAGTTAAGATTTTTATCTCTAAGGTAATTCTTGTTATTTAATATCTTCTTTTTAACCGAAAAAAATAATTAAGCGAAATATCAATTCAGAAGTAATTGTCTCTAAATTTTGATTTATTATTGCATGCCATAATATTATTTCTTACTCTTAACACTATCAAATGAATTGTATCTTGTAAAAAGTTACACATGCCTTCTTATGATTTGAAAAATTTCTACTTATTAAGGCTTGATAAAAATATCATTGTTCGGAGCAAAAGATTGACGAATGGGATATTATCAATCCACCAACTGAGGTGGTCGCTTTAGTTTTGCAGGAGACTGCAAGCTACTAATAAGTTCCTCGTGGACTAGTTCAGTTTTAACCACAAAAAAAGGAGGATTTAAGGATCTTATCAATTTAAGGTAAAGTTGGTTATGATTTCTAAAATTTATAAAATTAAAAACAAAGGGGAAATTTTGGACTTTAATAATATATGATTCTAATGTTTTGCTTGTGATATGGGATAGAATTTTGCTCATCAATCGTAGTCTGAACTAGAAAATTTATAAAATGAAAAATAAAGGGGAATTTTGGAATTTAATGATATACGATTTTAATGTTTTGCTTGTGTATGGGGTAGAATTTTGCTCATCCATCGTAGTCTGGATTAGAAAATCTTCTCACCCCACATCTTATCAATCACAGTCTTGACAAAAGAATACAAGACTTTCTTGTTTTGTTTTGGTCCTTGAATTTAATAATTGTTTCCAATTTGATCTTTAAGTTTATCTTTTATTTGTAGTTTTTTCTTAGACCTGCAAATGAATAAGCAGAAAAAAACTTGCAAAAACTGCTTTTAGGAGAAATAAGGAATTAAGGAAGGATCTTATACTCCAAATCGCACATCATGTCATTTATAAGTACTAATTATAGTTGAGTTTTGTGTTGTCATCAATAATACATATGCATTTCAAGTGAAAAAAATCGAGACAATACAAAATTACATATTAATGTCTAAATAACATGCCATTGCTTTGATAAAATCTATGATATAAGAAAATAAGAGAGAATAAAGATGAGCAGCTTCCCAAGTTATTCCTTGGGTGCTCTGAACAATAATACTCGTGGCCTAAGAAAATACAAAGGAACAAAATTTTTAACTTCCATCAATATTAACACTACAATGATGTGAACGTTGCACCAAAACAATAACGTTTTATTAAAAAACATTTAAGGGAAGAATATTAAATGCTCTATAGAGATTCAAGGTTTTCTTTATTAAAAATTTACTAAAAATTTATAAAATTATCAAAATAGTGCCTGTAACGCCCCGAATCCCGGGTTAGTAGTTCGGGTCAACCCGAGACACAAAGTTTGAGCCCAAAGGACCTTATAAATTAGATGGACCAAGTTTGGTGTTAATATGGACTGTGTTAGGATTGATGAAGCTCGATTGAACAACCGAAAATGTGCCAAGAGAGGGTGAATTGACAATTTAAAGTTTAGGGAGTAAGGAGATTAAAAAGATAAGGAAATTTACACAGCGATTTATAGTGGTTCGATTTCTCAACTAAGTCTACATCCACTACCTTAGCTCCTCACCAAGGATTTTCTAACAAATTCACTAATTTGTTATTTCTTTTTCAAGGACAAAGAGATAACCTTTACAACTCCCTATTTTTTTCACTTGGCTAAACTAGAACCAAAACCCTTTCAATGTAGGTGTTTACAAAGTTAAGCTCACAAGAAAAAAAATATTTACAAGAGAAAGTAAAATAGGAATGAAAAACTATTCTCTTGTGTTTGATTGCTTAGATAGATGTTCTTACTAGGGGTGTGCATTATCGGATATCAGATATTATCCGATCCGAATTTTTGGATATCCAAAAATTTCAGATACCTAAAGTAATGATCCATATCCGATCCGAAAAAATTAGATATCCGAATATCCGGATCTGAATCCGATTTTTTTGCAAAAAAACAAAAAAAAAAACAACATAATAAAAGATAAATTCCTTTGTCGAAAAGATAAACTCTTGCGTCCGCAAATCACAGCCATTGCCTTTGTCGAAAAGATAAATTCTTGCGTCCGCAAATCACAGGTTTTCTCAAAGCCTTCTTCTCCGTCGCCTTCTCCTCCTCTGATCCGATGGCGCAAAGGACAGTTGATTGGGTCTGGTGCCTTTGGCAGGGTTTATATGGGCATGAATCTTGATTCCGGAGAGCTTCTTGCTATCAAAGAGGTTTCTTTTCTTTTTTGTAATTTTTTTGGGTGGATTTTGAATTCTTTATGGAGCTTGTTTGATGGGTTATAGTTTAACTGTGGCTCAAAATAGAAACTCTGAAATGGGTTTGCAGTAGGTTTTCAAGTCAGGTGTAACACCCCCAACCCGTAACCGACCCAGATACGAGTTCGAAATGTCACATAGACTTTTTAAAACAATCTTCTTACAAGATAACAGAACATTTGGACTTATATTAAGAAAATACAATAATATACTCTTGAATTATGTTTCGTTGTAACAAATTTAAGGAAAAAAAGTTTTTATGAATAGTATTATACTATATGAACAGTACCGATGCATAAAAACACATAATGTAAAAGGTGTCGATACTGCTACAGTGTACCGATACCCTGCTATAGTAATTTCAGCCAAACATATATAAAACTCATAAAAATTTAAACTTTCATCACTATAAATTTACCATTTACATATATACGTTTAAACATTACAAAAATCGATCAGAGCATACATACTTATTTTAACGATTTTGTTTACATGCCAACCTATTTATCACATAATAAGACATACTGTGTAATTTACTTCTGATCTGATCTTCAAGTGGAGATATGTTGTTCTGCTGAGCTTATATTGGATCTTTCTATTTTTCGGTACCCACGTGTAAAATGCTTACACACTAAGTCATAGACTTAGTGAGGCATAATGATAATGTCATAATGATATGAAATGTAATGAAATCACATATTTAATCCATGCAAATTGTAGAACCATGTATCTTACCCATAATCTGATCACATTAACCATCATGAATTCATATAATAAGTTCACTAGCCCATGATACCATACTGAGAACCTGAGGCATGTGAGTACTGTGAGGTTGTGCACTATGTTGTCACCACAACTCGTATAAATTCCCACTAGGGGCACGTAGAATTTGTCCCGAATGACCGCGTAGAAATACACTGAAGTGCCATATAAGATGTCCATAAGGACCACATAGAAATTCCTTAAGAATCATATACATATGCCAAGGATCAAGTACGTGTCTCAAAAGACTCACACATGTTCCAAAAAATACATGTATGTCTCGAAGGACTGCATAGACCCTTTACACTTGGCATGCCAACTATACCTATAGTTCTTATCGACATAACATGGGCTTTCACCATTCACGTAGTATATCTTATAAACATATAATTTCCTTACCTTCATCACATGGCTCATAAATATTTCATGCATGTTCATTTCAAACATATCATATAATGCATATGGTATGAATTCATATCATGTTTCATAATATGGAATGAATCATATATCAAGATATTAAATATAGACTTATTACAAGTCTAGAACTGAATATATTAACATAATCATGCTATGTATATACACTCACCTATTTTTCCTTTTCTTTTCCTCGATCAATCCTACTTGTTAATTGTTCTGAAACTTGTTTAGGATCTGTATCTACATAAATATAATTTTCAAGACAATTATCAGAAGCATAAACCTTATAACTTGATATTAAAAAACTTAAGCTAATTTAATGAACCAAACCTCAACTTTTCCTTTATGAGTGTATCGATACACTTATTGTGTATCGATACACTTATTGTGTATCGGTACCTAAATTCAATTCGAAATTCACACGTATCGATACACCTTCAAAATTGGTCTTAGTGTATCGGTACCCATTCATAGTGTACCATACACCCTGTCCAGATTAGACTTTTTCACCCGAAAATTCCATAACTTTTCATTAAATTTCCTTATATAAAACTTCTTTTATATCACCCAACTCAACTACAACCATTTTAACTAACTTCTATAATTCCAACACCTTATTATCTCTCATATCTCATTCAGATTCATAAAACTAAGAATCTTACTAAATTTTCCATGTAATCCAAACTTACTTCTAACACTTATAACTTCTTATTCATACATATGACAAGTCAAATTTAACTTCTAAATTCATTTATACATCCTTATTCAAAATTTTACTTATCCACTTCTTATCTTTAATCCTTTATAACTTACAAATCTTTGAGTTTCTATGACCTTTTTCATCTCCATCCTATTTCCTAAGTCTTCCTTAACCAAAAACATACTTGAATTTTAAGGATTAACCAAAAGAAATCCAACTTACCTTGGCTTGGGTGCTTCATGTTGGAGAAGAATAAGAATATGAGAGAATTGTTTGGAAACATTTGTTTCCCAAAACATGCTCCACATGGGTTATAAAA